TCCAGGGAAAATAGTCCCAGCCTATTCAGCCTCTCCCTATAGCTCAAGTTTCGCAACATCTTCCTACAGGAGGGAGACCAGAATTGTGTGCAAAACTCCAAAGGTGGCCTCACCAATGTCCTGTACAGCTGCAACATGACCTCCCAACTCCTATACTCTGAAAACCATTGGGGGATCTTACCTATTCATCTGAAAGGAGAGACGGTGGTAGGTTTAATGTCTCAACTGAGACATAAGACCTCTGGAAGTAATTCACTCCGTCAGTGCTCAGGTTCCTGGAGTGGGAATTGGGCCCACAGCCTGCTGCCTGGAGCTGAAATTACTGTCTAATGAGTCACTACCGACATCCCCGTCTCTTTCAGATTGGCTTTTTGGCACTGTTTTGGGGCCTCACAGCACCAGGTACCTGAGTTCGATTCTACCCTCGGGCAACTGTCTGTGTGGAGTTTGTACATTCTCCCCGTGTCTGCGTGGGTTTCCTCCGGGTGCTCCGGTTTCCTCCCACTGCCCAAAGATGTGCACGTTAGCTGGATTGGCCATGGGAACTGCAGGGTTACAGGGACAGGGTCGTGGGGTTGGGTTTGGGTGGGATCCTCTTCAGAAGGTTGGTGTGAACCTGATGGGCTGAATGGCCTTCTTCCATGCTGTAGGGATTCTATGATTCTGTGAAGTGTTGGATATGTATTGCTGACTGCAGTATGGAGTGTGGGATAGAGGTAGAGAGAAGGAAGACAGTGTTTAGTTGGGAAGTAAATAAGGAAGGGGATAATGTGATATGACAAGGTGCCTTGCTATGCATTACGTTGCTTCCAGTAAGATTAAGGAGTCTGCAGGCTGCTGTATCTAATGCTGAGCTCTGACACAGTCAAGCAGACGAGCATTGCCTCCAGGCAAACTGACCTCAGCAACATCTCAAACTGATGTTCTTTGAAAATAAAGGCAAGATATAGACACACAAGGCTGATCCTATCAGAGGTAGTCACGGTGAGGTGGGGATTATCACTTCACGCTGCCTACGTCTCACACACAGACAACTTCATTGGGATCAGGGCGACTTAGACAAACTGGAGCTTAGAAATAGGCTCCAGTCCCCAACCACTCTGTCCCACCCCAAGAAATCAACTGAAAGAACATTCACATCAGAGTCCCAGCGTTAGTATTTTTACAACGTTGTTCCATTCCTAACTCCCTGCTGCCAAATGATGCACATTGAAAAGGAAGTAGGAGAGATTTACATAAAGATTGTTAATAAGGAATTTATCCAAACAATTTCACAACTTCACTCAGAAGACTGAGATTCTTTTTTCATTCTAGTTCTCTCTCTCTCTACCTCTCTCTGTCTCTCTATTCTTGTTGTGGAACTGCTTGTCTATCTGCTTTCTCTCTGTACTTTTTGCTCTTCCATCTTTTGGCCCTGAGCTCATCTGTTTTTCTCTCTCTCTCCCTATTATGGCGATGCTTGTTACTGATATATCTCCTCACTCGCACTGTACATTTGTCCATCTGTCTCTTTTCTTGTCTCTCTCTCTCTCTCTCTGTAGGGTAATGCTTGTTCCTGGTGTACCTCCGCACCTCACCTTTTTGTGCACCTCTGTCTCACTCTGCCCTTGTCTCTCTCTGTCTCACTTCAAGGGGAATGCTTATTACTCATGTATCTCCCCACCCTCACTGTAAATATCTCCATTTCTGTCTTTCCCTATCGCTTTCTGTCTCTCTCTTACCCTTTCACTACCTCTCTCTCTCTCCCTTTCTTTTTTTTGGGAATGCTTATTTCTGCTGTATCTCTGCAGTCTCTCTGTACACCCCTCTCTCCCTCTATTTCCCTCTCTCATTCTCTCCCTGTTCCTCTTTCTCTTTCTCTTTCTCTATCTGTGTTAGGGGAATAAGTACACCCCTCTCCTCCTCTGTTTCCCCATCTACTTCTCTCTTTGTGTTAGGGGAATACTTGTTACTGATATATATCTCTAGTTTATCTTCACTTCTCTAAGTCCCTGTATCTGTCACTGTTGAAACTTGATCTTTTGTCTGAAGTTGCCCTTTGAGGCAGATGGACTCAGATCAGAGTGCAGACAGTTCAAGCTCAGCATGTGGGTCTGTGTTAAAGCAGAGATTACTTTAATAAAGCTTTCCTTACTTGTCTTTTTCATAAAGGAAATTGAAAACAGCAAATGATGGAATTAATGAGATTTGAGGATTGGGCAGGGGCTGCAGGAGGTGGGGGACATCAGACGGTGGATAGACTCCAAACAACACTTTGGATTTTACATGCTGCTACTGGGCCAGTTGGATGAGTCAATGAGTGTTTAGCAGGGACCTGAGTAACCATATTAACCCCCAAACAACCACACCTTGTTCAGTTGCACCGTGTACATGTTTAGTTCACAGATGTGAAGCTGGAAAAGCACAGCACATCAGACAGCATCCGAGGAGCGGGAAAGTCAACATTTTGGGTTGAAACCCTTTGTCAGGACTGGAGGGGAGCCCAGAAGTAAATGGGGGGTGGGGGGGTAGTGCTGGGGCTGGGGGGGGAAAGGTAGGTGGGATCATGATAGATGGATACACATCGGGTGTTATTGTGATTGGTCAGTGCGAAGGGTGAAACGGATTGGTGAGTAGGAAGATGGTGAGTAGGTCAGAGAGGCGAGGAGGAGGGGGAGGGATGGACATGGGATAAGGCTGGCGATGGAGGGATTTTGAAGCTGGTGAAGTCAATATTAAGGCCATTGGGCTGTAAGCTCCCAAGGTGAAATATCAGGTTTTGTTCCTCCAGCTTATGTTTGATCTCACTCTGACAGCGGAGGAGGCCAAGGATGGCATGTCACTGGAAAGTGGGAGGGGGAATTAAAGTAGATGCCAACAGGAGGGTCGGGTTGGTTGATGCGAACAGAGCGCAGATGCTCCACAAACCGGTCCCTGAGTCTGCGTTTGGTCTCCGCAGTATAGAGGAGACCACATCAGGAACAATGGATACAATAGGTCAGGTTGGATGAAGTGCAGGGGAATCTCTGCCGGATCTGGAAGAATTGTTTGGTGCTTAGGACAGAGGTGAGAAGGAAGGTGCAAGGGCAGATGTTGCACCTCTTGTGTTTGCCGAGTGTGGTGGTGAGGTTGGTGGGGAGTGTCGTGCTGACGAGGGAGTCACGGAATGAACGGTTCCTGCGGAAGGCAGACAGGGGTGGGGAAAGAAATACCTTATTGGTGGTGGGTTCTGATTGTAGTTGGCAGAAATGTCGGAGGATGATACATTGGATTTGGAGGTTGGTGGGGTGGTATGTGAGGACTAAAGGGACTCTATCCTTATTGTTGTTGGGGGAGAGGATTTTAGGGCAGAAGCACAGGAAATGGAGAAGATGTGGTTAAGGGCATCCTTAATTACAGAGGAGGGGAAATTCTGGTCCCTAAAGTAGGAGGATATCTGGGATGTCCTGGAGTAAAATGCCTCATCCTGGGAGCAGGTGCAGTGGAGGTGGAGGAATTGAGAGTATGGGGTGGCATTTTTACAGGATGATGGGTGAGAGGTGGTGTAGTCAAGGTAGTTGTGGGAGTCAGTGAGTTTGAAATGGATGTCAGTGGTGAGTCAGTTTCTGGAGATGGAGACAGAGAGGTCCAGGAAGGGCAGGAGGTGTCAGAAATGGTCCAGGTGAATTTG